AATCTATTATCACAAGGATCATTCTAGAATGGCTTTGTCTTAACATTGACCATCCTATACCATGCTACACAGTGTAACATTAGTAATATATCCATTTTTAAGTTCTCTTAACATAAAAAGTTCCTCTATTAGTGATTTCACTCCACCTTTCCCAGTACATAATTTCTGCTGCTAGTTTTATTAAAAAGTACCTACATTGCACAAAGACAGGTACCAGTACATGAATTCAAGTGAGCCCCGACACTTTCACTGTACTTTATGGGGGGTGTGCAAGGCTAACTAAGCACCTCTGTTAATAATGAGAAAGAATCAGACTCTGCACAGATTTATGTGTATTTCAGTACTAAGCACTTCTGTTGATATTGAGTAGGCAAGAAAAGATCACACTATACAAAGACTTATGTGTAAGTCAGCACTCATCAACCCTGTATGTAGGAAAAAAAGATGAGGAAGTTTGTTTATACAGTGTAATTCATATAGTACATTAGAAGTTAAGAGCTCAGTTCTGGAGAATAGACCTGATTTGAATTCCAACTTTGCCATTTATTAGCTATTTAACTTTAGAGAAATTATTTAATCACTCTGTTTGTTTACTTGCCTGAGAATGGGATAATACTAGTAACTTCAAAGTGTTGTTTGGAGGTTTGAGTATGATAATATTTAACACATAGCCCATAAAAATAACGACAGCTGTTAGCTATGAGATTTTGAATCCTAGGAATGTGCCATTTATAAAGGGGGTGCCATTTGTAAAGGGGATGCCATTCGCGGTGGGCAGCATGAAGCTCTCTTGGGGAATACATGTGAATACTGTCAAAAGGTTACCAAAACTTAATGTTGGTAGATATTTCCAAGGTCGTCTAATTCAGTCCTTCCTTCTTTCCTCTCTTCCTCATGCATTCCTCCTAAATTGTCACCTTTTTAATTCTTCTCTTAAAAATATCAAAGATTGGCTCAGCTCCACAATTATTTCTGATGGTGCCAGTATGAAATAGATTTTATGAGAAAATAATCTACTTATATTATCCCACTCACCTCCCATCCCAGTTTATTTCTTTCATAAAGGAAAACTTGCCATTCCAAGTAGGAAGATTTGCCTCAGTCCTCACTGATATAATGTTTCTCTTCCTCAGTTTCTCTGTGAGTCATATCATGTTGCTGAATGCTAAGACTGATTCATTCACTCAGTAAGCACTTAGTGAGCATCTGCCGTATACAGCTCTCTGCTAAAGACAGAATTAGGACAAAGAAGTGTCAAGAATGGTCCCTGTCTTCAAGTAGCTGTAAATGGGGCTGAAGAGAAAACTACAGAAACCAATATCTAATGACCGTTAGGACCAGTAGAGCAGAGCACAGAGATCTAGGAAGTCAGAGGAGATAAGATCGTGTCTCAGGAGATCACCTGGAAGGATAGGGGGTTTTTAGCAGACAAAAATGGAGAAAGAATATATTACAAGAGGTTGCAATAAGTGGGTACAGTGGGCATCTATTGTTTCGAGAATCCTCTATTCTATCTTCTGATTGCAGCACCTCAATTTTCCGTTGATGAACTACCTAAACCCAGTCTGACAGGCTGCTATGCCCTACCCAGGTGAGGATGTGAACACGTTACACTAATGAGGACATTCAGAGAGTTTTTGCTGGGAATTTGAGTTTTGAGCAGAGTGAACCAAGAAGAAAGCATGGTATTATTGTTCAAGACTCTCCTTTTGCAGAAACTGTTGGTGAGTTCCTGCTCGCTTAGAACCCTGAGCCACCCTGGGTACTGTCCTCCCTGAGCTTGGGGGCTCATATTTTCTATTGGCTCTGTAAGCTACCCCATGTTATTCTTTTTTGGTTTAGTTTAGTCAGAATCAGTTCTGTTATATTCAGCCAAAGAACCATAAATAGTAGCTTGAACAAAAGCTTAAAGCAGAAAAAAAAAAAAAGAGAGATGTGCTTGGATAGTAATGAATAGTCTGTCTGGTTAGCATGTGAAGTACATACTGGAGAGCTAGTAGTTGGAAATAAAGTTAGAAAGGTTGCTTAGATCTGGACTGCAGAGGACCTTGACCATTAGGATCAAGTGAACCAATCAAAAACACATTTTAGGAAAATTAAATGGGGGAGGGGGCAGACATGGAGACAGGGAAATCGGGATGGTTGGTAGCATAGCTTCTTTTGTGAAAACTTGCATTAACCCACAGTCTTTATTCAGTTTGCCATCATTTTTCAAGAACTGATTATATTGCAGGCTCAGTACTAGATTTTAGGACTATAAAGATAATTAAGACACAGTTCCTGTCTTCCTGGAGCCTCCAAGCTAGACAGTAAATTAGACCTGTGAGTGTGAGAGATAAATCATTAGGATTATGTAAGAGTCTCTGTAGAAGAGAGGGGTTAACTCTTTTGTTGGATTAGGAAAGTCTTCCAAGAGGTAGTGATTGCTGAAGAGAGTTTTGCATAGCAGTTTGCCAGGTGGTCACAGTAGAAATGGGCATAAGCATTGAGATTAAAGGTTTGAATTCCTGGAACTATATCAGGATTAGAGATAAAGATTTGGAATCAGAAATATATAATATAATAGTTAAAAAATGGGAGTGGGTGAAATTGCCCAGGGATGTAGACAATTGTCATAAGAGAGGAAAAGCAATGACTGAACTCCAAGGAACACCGACAGTTAAAGGATGGGCTGAAAAAGAGGATGTCCAGAAGATGACCCTGAGACAGAAATGAGTGTTTAGGAGAAACACAAAATCAGGGTGTCATGGAAACCAGAGAGGAGAAAGTGACAGGACGGGAGGAGCAGAGTATCAGATGCCACAAGATGAAGTAAAAAATAGGACAGGGAAAGGTTATTAATCTTTGAGTCATTTCCGTGGAATCTTGGGGGCGCAAGTGAGATTACAGGGAGGAAAGGGGGAGATGAAGAAGGGAAAGGTGACTGAGCAGAGAAGGAGAGGGAGGGCAGTAGCAAAGGCGAATGCGGCTTCCGTCTTTGTTTTGTTTTGTTAATGAGAAAAACTGGTGCATATCAATCCTAGAGGTCAAGGCATGGACATTCCTAACAACTGAGTACCTTAAAGAAAACAAGATGTTCCTTCTGACATGTAAATACGTAATCTTGCTCTTGGTCCAAGGTGGATTTGTCTTGTTTCATACTCTGCTCTATCATAAAAACGTAGTGCGGTTCTATTATAATTTGTGGTAATATTAGACAGATTGACATGTGCCAGAGGCAAGTAAATTTGAGATCATATACTAAATTCTTAATCTGGCCATATGTAGGTATAACTTTTTCAAAGAGGGAAAATCAAGCTAAATTTTAATTCCAAATGTGTATTTTTCTTAGGAGAAATATTTAGAGTACACATAAAAGACTTTATGTGTCTCTAGTTTGGGGGGATCAAAGGGAAGAGGTTAGGGTTAGCAGAACCTAATTATTATTTTAGTAAAATAACTTCTAAAGATTCCCCACTTAGTGTTGACTAGCCTTCTGAAGAGCTAGTCAGCTAAGAGATGGTGTACCCATTTCAAGCTTCATGACTTTTCCAGTCTGTTATATGTCAGTTTGTGATCATTAGGTTCCATGTCACAGACACCCAACTTGAAACAAAGAAAAAGAAATTTGTTGGTTTAAGAAACCAAACCATGATAAAGTCAAGCAAAACCTGTTTCAAAGTTATCTGGAACTAAAAACTAAATCTGTCTAATCTAATCTATCTATTTCATCTGTCTATCTCTCTCTCTATTTGTCTCTCTCTCAGCTTTGTTTCTTTCTAATGTAGGCTTCGTTCTTAACCATTACAAACTGGCTCGCTCGTTGCTAGAACAGTGGTGAATCCCAACAGCTTCTGGACTCAGATGTACTTGTAACTCTACCAAAAGAGAGGAAAAGACTTTCCCGTTGTTCCAGGACTTTGATTGGTCTACTTGGGTCTTATGCCACCCGCCCCCCCTCCCCCCCCACCCCGACCAATGTGGCAAGAGAGATTGAGCTGTTAGGATTGGCCCAGCTAGGATGAGAAGCCCATCCTTTGCCAGGTCACTATGACGGTGGAGGCAGGATCATAGGAGACAGCATCTCCCATTGACCTGCTTGGTGAAGAGGAGAGCCTCAAGAGTGGGAGTTACTGCCTGAGAAGAGTGAGGTGCTAAGCAGACAAAACTATAATTGTTTGATAAGTTTAGTTAGCTCAAAACTTAGATGCAGTCTCTGAATAAATGGGCTGATTGGTTTGGAATGTGAGTAGGGAAAAGTTTTCTGCAATTACCTTCTGGGATATATTTCTCCCAGAAAAGGGAGTTACAGTTGGTTATAACTTGATTGTGATAGAGTTTGAATAAACCACATAAGAGACTTGGCACTTCACAATTTAAGAGTAATTTCACTTACCTCAGCTTATTTGAGCTAAAAAGGATCCTGTATGTATGTTAAATTTCCATTTTAGAGCATACAGACTGAGTCTCAGAAAAAACTCTTTCTTACCTTGGATCTCATAACCAGCGAGTAGCTAGTGGCTTTGGGTTTAGAATTAGTAGTCCTGACTTCAAATATTTCTTCTATTACATCCAATTCTCAATGAAAGTACATTTTTTTAAAAGGATTTTAAGATCTTGCCCAATTTTAGGAATCATTTTTGTATATGACTTTTATATTCATATATCAGTTATTCCTGATTTATTAAAGTCATGACTTTGCAGATTCCTGATGCCGTCACTAAATCTGCTGTTGTTGACAGTCTCTTCTAAAGAACAAAATAATTTTTTGTTTCTCTTAAAAATGTTATGGCATCTCTTAATAATTAGGTACTCCCTAGGATTACATATTTCCAGGTAGCCTAGAATCAGTGGCTTAAATTGGTTCCTACCCTACCAAGGAATGATATAGTCATTTGCCTGATATGGTAATTCTCTACTCTGATTGATCAGAAAGGAAAAAGTTATATAAAAATAGAAGTTTGTAAATATTAAAGGTATTTGTATCCATAGCGATTCCTTGATATTATTGTTTGTTCCAGATGAGAAGAAGCAGATGGTTGCAAATGTGGAGAAACAGCTCGAAGAAGCAAAAGAACTGGTACGTATCAACTTGGTAATACATTTAACACATGACCAGAGCCATTTAAGTTGATGCCTTCCTCTAGCCTGTTTTATACATTGTAGAAATGTGAAACATTACTGAATAGCATTTTATAATTTGGAATTCATCAATTTTTAAATTGAAGAGAGTTTAACAGCTCCTGGGATTTTATTCTTAATAAAAGTGATTCATTAAGTTTCCACCTCTAATTTTTATTCCTTCATAGTACTTTTCATAATAGTTATAAATAGCTAATGCTTGTTAAAGGCATACTGGGTACTAGACACTGGCTTAGATATATTACTTACTGTATAATATTTAATTTTCACTAAAACTCTGTGAGACAAGTACTATTTGTCAAAAACTGTTAAGGATCTGAGATTTCCCCCTACTTGCTCACTGACAAGTGAGCTTGCCACAGTTTCATGGATGCTGATAGAAGACGTGAGATTCCTAGGTCAGAGACAATAGACTTGTATTACTCACAGCAAAAGCAGCTACTAGAGTTTCAGCATGCTTGGGTCAGTTTCCTGAGCACCAGTTCTCACAGGCGTGATGCAGGTTTGCCTAGAAGAATGCCTACACATACAGTGGAATATCTTACAGGAGAGGAACATGGAGCCTGGGAAATGTACTGCTTTACAGCAGCCTGTAAGCAAGTCTGCTCCTTGTCCCAGGAGGATACGTTATTTCCTCCCCCAAGATTGTTCCCTGCAAATACAACCCTGAGAAATGGCCGAGGAAAAGAGTGGTTAAGGCCTTGCATTCTTGGCATGCCCAGCAAGACATGTAGGAGCATGAGAGACCCACAGAGGAGTGATTCTCAACACTGTTCCTATCCCATTTTGTAGATGGGGAAACTGAGGCTTAGAAAGATTAATTAACTTGCCTGAGGTACCACCCCCCGTAAGTGATGGAGTAAGGATTTGTATCTAGATATGCTAAACCCAGAGCTCCAGCTCATCCACTACTTTTTGATATAAATAAATTTGCAAATCATAGAACAAAAAGTATTAAAAAGTATTGTATCCCAATTTTTTGTTTTAAAGCCAAGTAGTGCAAGTATGATTCAATCTGTTACTGCATTGTTGTCCTAAATGACTGTGCTGCTTTTCTAAATATTGAAGGGTCTGTTTGATGTTCCTTCAGTACTACTTGCTGATATACTTAGAACAGTTTCCTTAAGTGTGTTTCTATTAACTGGTGTTGCCTGTTCCAGTAAGTGTGGGAAACTGTAGCTTAAATAGAATTGGAGGTTGAGGTCTTTTTTGGTTGTTGTTTTTCTGCAGGACCTTCTTGGACCCTTAAGTATGCTAAGAAGCATTATGAATCTCTAAGAAGGGTCTATAGGGGGCAGCTAGAGCATGGAGCATTTCCCAAGCTTATTTGACTGAGTAACATTTGTTAACAGGACCATACCTGGGGAACTGCTGCTTTGGGGAGTCTGAAGGAATACGTGGCTGTTGTTCCCCATTGCACAGCAGACTTTTCCTCTGTGTCTTTGAGTGCTAAGGCATCGCGTTGCAGAGCTGCTGCTGTGCCTTCTCTATTGCTGGTTCTTTTCTAGCTATCAGAACGTCGGGTGCTCTCTATAGTCTGTAAGATATGCCTCTGATCTCTGCTGGCAGCTGTCACCGTCTCTACAGTGGCAGCTTACCTTCTAATCTCCACATCTTCCAATGTTCATCTCTCTTTTGAAAGTTTCCTCTTTTTTTTCAAATGCTTTTCTCCTTACTTTCTTTTCTTTTTATATTCAACTACTTCTCTCATGCTTCCTGCTTTTCTGTAAAAAACCTGACCTTTTGCACACCATAGATGTCAATCAGGACATTTCTTCTTTCTGATTGGCAGACTTACCATAAATAGTTCAAATGGTTAATTCTTTGAATCTTGATTTGACTTCTTACATTATTGAGTTTTCATTAGCTGGTTTTTTTGCCATCAAAATCTGTGTTTTGGTTTATTTATTTGCCTTGTTTTGGAGACACAAATTTGCTTGATGGTGATAGCAAGCTGGTCTCCTGATAACCAAGGTTTTACTGTAACAAGAAATAGAAAACATAGTCATTCCCTCATGGAGCTTTTTTTTTAAATTAAGATTGGCACCTGAGCTAACGTCTGTTGCCAATCTTCTTCTTCTTCTTCTTTTTTTTTTTCCCTTCTTCTTCTTCTCCCCAAAGCCCCTCAGTACATGGTTGTATATTCAAGTTGTAGGTCCTCCTGGTTGTGCTGTGTGGGACGCTGCCTCAGCATGGCTAGATGAGCAGTGTCATGTCCGCGCCCATGATCCAAACTGGCGAAACCCTGGGCCACCAAAGCAGAGTGTGCGAACTTAATCACATGGCCGTGGGGCCAGTCCCCCTCATGGAGCTTATAGTCTTCTTTACTTATTACTAACGGAAGGAGTTTTGTCTGAGATATGTGTTTCTGTTTGTTTAAAATGATCAGAAAGCTGATTTACTTAATTCTGATAAGATCCTTGTTAAGGACACTGTTCATTATATTACATCCTGTCTTTTTGAGAAGCTTGGGAGAAAAACTTCTTTTTGATTTGATTTATTAGTGTTAGTTGTGTTTCTGCTGAATGATTGTTTGCGTTAATCTCTCAGACACTGAATGTCTTGTAATTGTCATGTCTTCCACTTTACATTGGCCATGTGCATGTTGTGGCAACATGAGACAAGTGCATCTTAGCCTTATTCCTGGTTTCATTTTAAGTGCTTGTTGTATGTTTCCTTTTTCTTTTCTTACCTACTTTTTTTTTTTTTCCTTTTTCTCCCCAAAGCCCCCCAGTACATAGTTGTACATTCTTCATTGTGGGTCCTTCTAGTTGTGCCATGTGGGACGCTGCCTCAGCGTGGCTTGATGAGCAGTGCCATGTCCGTGCCCACGTTCGAACCAACGAAACACTGGGCCGCCTGCAGCGGAGCACGCGGACTCAACCACTCGGCCACGGGGCCAGCCCCTTTTCTTACCTACTTTTAAGTTAGTTTTAAGTGTCCTTGTAAAATGCCTTAAACAAAAATGTACTTAACTCTCGGATTTTTACTTACATGTGCTTTTGCAATTATTTGTCTGGATGATCCTGTTCACCTTGTTAGAACTAAGTACTTGATGATGATTTCAGAGTAGTGCTTTAAATAATGGCTTTGCTGAGTAACTATTTAATTTATTGATGCTTCATATTTATGTTGAGACATGTTAATAATTTGAATGCCACTGCTTAAATCAAGGCTAATTAAAATGATCTTTGTTTTCTTTATAAAAATCGAGGCCTATAAGTTGGAAACATGGTCTTCTGGTTTATCTGTGTTCTACTATAGTTATTCAGTCTCTTACACTGGACAAGTAAGAATTCTATTAGTGAGAAGCTTACAGTGTTCATGGAAATAACTTATTACAATGCTATAAAAGGCCAAATATATGGCAACGTTTTGGATGAGAGTTTATCAGACATGGCTTGAACCAATTTGTTGTTGTTGCTCGTTTTTATTTTTTTAATGCCAGGTATAAATAATCTACCTCTGATACCTGACTCATGCTTGCTGTATTTCTTCTTCACCATCAGTAATCCTTACTACTATGGTTAACATTAATGTACGATTACCAAGTAAGAGACACTGTTGTAAGTACATTATAGGAATTACCTCATTTAATCCTCACAGCTGCCCTACAAAAGGCATACTATTTTTAGAAATGAAAAAAGGGCTGGAGAAGTTAAGAAACTTGTCCAGGCTTGAATGCCTAGTGAGTAGTGGAGGCTATGATGTGAATGCAGGCATCCGATTTGAAAGCCTGTGTTCTTAACCATCATAATATTTCTGTATTGCCTCCTATAAACGCTCATGTGTTACAGACAGACAAAGTGTTATGTAATGACAGGTTGTTAAAAAGTGCCCTGCCATGATTTCAGTGAGCTTTGTGTAATTTAGCATATTGCTGTATCGTTAACTCCATATCAATGAGGTTATAAAGTACACAGAGTTAGGCTGGAGGGCGAGATCACATGTTGGCTGGTATGTGATTTCCTAAGCAGAAAAGACCTTCCAGAAGAATTTTCACCAAATGGCTAAGGCTGGGCTGACATTTCATAGATTAACGGTGGAAAGAACGGTTTGGTTATCTTCCCATACTTCTCGTGGTTTGGCGTCAGAAGACCTGATCAGGTTGAAGTGAAGGATAGGATACTCCAAGGATATTAAAATCATCATTATTGAGGCTGTTTGGATTCCTGTATATGTTTTAAAAGAAATACTTGACCACGTAAGTGCTTTGGCACTCTGTGTGTCGCTTGGCAAGCATTCAGTAGCTATTTGTTGACCTAAACAAAAATTAAGCACAAAAGTAGTCCCAGTGTTGTTTGATCAGGGACTGTTAGCTCCCTGGGCCTGGTTCCTCAACTGTAAAATGAGGAATGGGAATTAAATCCTTTCAGCTCTAAACGTCTGATCAAATAAAGAATAAGCATATGGTTTAAATCACATTTTCCTCTCGCCCTTCCAGCTTGAACAGATGGATTTAGAAGTCCGAGAGATACCCCCCCAAAGTCGAGGGATGTACAGCAACAGGATGAGAAGCTACAAGCAAGAAATGGGAAAACTTGAAACAGATTTTGTGAGTCCAATTCCACCATTTGTCATATTTACTAATCCTTAAACTGAACGTTCACCTGTTTTTTATTGTTTCTTCCACATGCCTCAGCCAGCGTTATGTGCATCATCTTCAGGGGTTTGTGCAAAAGACAAGCAATAGCTTTCATTATTTATGACTTGGGGATCTAGAAGTGCTTATAGAGCTAGCTAATGATGGAATTGGAAGTATGTTGGATTCAGGACTGACAAATACATCCAAATCATGTGGTTCTTTGAGTTTGGATAGTATTTATCAGTATTTAACATTTATTAGAATTTTGAAACCCAATTTTGGGCCTTTAAGAGGCAGTGTTCTTAGATGGACTTCAGGGGCTCATGAATGTTCTGAAATTATACCCGTATTTTTGGATGTACATTGCTATGTGCATATTTTCCTGGGATAGGCTCCATAGACTTTAGAGTCTGAAAAGGATACGTTACACTCCTCCCCCCAAAAAGACAGAAGGAAGTCAATGAATAATTTATACGTGATCCTTTATATCAATTGCCCCATGAGAATATTTAGCTTTCTCTTCCTATATATCTGACTTTCAACTCTACCTACTTTATAGCAAATTTAAGAACATAAAGATATAATGTTAAAATTGTTAGCAATTAGAAAGTAATAGGAGTAGAAAAGATACATCTGGGCAATTTCACTTCTGGGTATATATCCAAGAGAATTGAAAGCAAAGATTCAAAGAGATATTTGTACCCCCATGTTCATAGCAGCATTATTTGCACTACTGAAAGACGGAAGCATCCCAAGTGTCCATTGACAGATGAAGGGATAAACAAAATGTAGTGCATGCATACAATGGAATATTATTCAGCCTTAAAAATTAGGTAATTCTGCCATATGCTATGATATGGATGAACTTTGAGAACATTGTGTTAAGTGAAATAAAGCCAGTCACAAAAGACTAATACTATATGATTCCATTTATATGAGGTACATAGAGTTGTTAAATTTATAAAGACAGAAAGTAGTGGTTGCCAGGGGCTGGAGGGAGGGGGAAGTAGGCAGTTACTATTTAAAAGGTATAGAGTTTCAGTTTTGCAAAGTGTAAAGTTCTAGAGATTGGTTGCTCAGCAATGTGAATATATTTAACACTATTGAACTGTACACTTAAAATGATTAGGATCGTAAATTTTATGTTATATATATTTTATCACAATTACAATTTTAAAAAAATACAGGCAAGGAACGATCTGAGCTTGACCTGTGAGTGACAGGAGTCATGTGTTGGCATATAAATCAACTGTGTCTCTGACCCTGGGGTCTAAATTCATAAAGAAAGTCAAGAATTTATAGGGATCTTCCTGTTCCTGCCTTAGCTGTTTTATTTTGGGGGGCTGCACTTCCTTGACTGCAATGTACCTTTCCGTTACAAGGCCAAAGGTTAGGGACCTAGAGTCTGGAAATAGGGGGATTGGCAGTCGTGTGAATTTATTTTATATTTTAATGGGTATTTTCCTGTGAAGTTGAAATGGGCTACATCAGTGACTCTGATGTAGTTGCCTTTTGAACTGTGTTCCTATTAATTAGAAAAAAAGTTGGAGGGGCCGGCCTGGTGGCACAGGGGTTAAGTGCGCACATTCCATTTCGGGGGCTCGGGGTTTGCCAGTTCGGATCCCGGGTGTGGACATGGCACCACTTGTCAAGCCATGCTGTGGTAGGCATCCCATATATAAAGTAGAGGAAGACGGGCACGGATGTTAGCTCAGGGCCAGTCTTCCTCAGCAAAAAGAGGAGGATTGGCAGCAGTTAGCTCAGGGCTAATCTTTCTCAAAAAAAAAAAATTGGAATCCACATTGGGCCTAAATTCAGGAAAGAAATGTAACTGCCTGGCTTCTGTGCTCTGTACTAGATAAAACCTTCTCTAACTGCTTTGTGAAAGGTAGATTCTCTCAGCGAGAATATGAGATATGGTGAGAAAATTGGATTGATTTAAGAATTTGACCACTCAAATTTACACTTAGACAATTCTAATTAAAGTTAATGTTTCCATACAAATGATGAAAGTAAAAGAAAATATTGATAAGGATTATTTTAGTTTGCTTACCTCCTCTTCATGAAACTCTTTTCCAGAGATTTTTCTCTTGATTTCTAAAACAACCAAATGGATTAGATGTAACAAAGTATCACAGACTGGGTGGGTTCAACAATGGAAATTTATTTCCTCCCAGTTTTGAAGACTGAAAGTCCGAGATCAAGGTGTCGTCATGGTTTGTTTCTTGTGACACATTGGCTTGTGGATGGCCAACTTCTCCCTGTGTCTTCCCATGGTCTTCCCTCTGTATGTTTTGTGTTCTGATTTCTTCTTTTTAGAAGGAAACCAGTCCTAGCGGATTAAAGCCCACCCTAATGGCTTCATTTTAACTCACTTAAGTCTTTGAAGACCCTGTCTCCAAATGCAGTCCCTTTCCGAGGGACTAAGGGTTAGGACCTCAACACATGAATTGGAGAAGACACCATTTGGCCCGTAACATGGAATTTAGTTTTAATCTTTCCTTCTTAAATTTTTTTTCAGAAATTAAATTGCTGCTGTGGCTTTTAAGTCAACTAACCCAATCGTAATCTTTTTTGTTTCCTGAAGAGTATAATCCTGGGTAGAGTCCTCTAGATATTGGATATTGTATACTTGGATAAGTATTTTTCAAGTATATTTTCTATTATAAAGAAAAATGGAGCCAGCAACTATGAACTAAACATTTATTCTCCAGGCTATCATTAAAAATTCATGTGTTTATGTGTATATTTGCTGCCATAGCTTGCTTCTACCGTGTCGGGAGACGTCCTTTACCACTACCACCGTCACCGTCTATTGTACAGTGACTTAAAGCTTATAAAGTGCTGTAGCATACGTTACTTCGTTTCATTGTCTAAAGAGTAGACAGAGCAGATGTGGATCACTATTTTACCATCTTACGCATGATAGGACCAAGAGGCTTGGATTGATTACAGATTTCGTTCAACAAGTCTTTCTTGAGCCCTACAGTGTATCTGTCACTGTCCTAGGTCCTGGAGAAAAGCTGTAAGACAGAAAAAGTTCTTGCTCTCATGTAATTTAAATTCTAGTGGGGAAGACAAGAAACAAACAAATATGTATATTTCATAATTTCGGGTAGTGAAAATGCTGTAAGTGAAAATAAAGTGAGTAAATGGGTAGGAGTGAATAGCAAGGTGGTTGTAGCAATTTTTGCTGGGGTGTTTTCTGTGGCTTGAGTGAGCGAGGAAGAGAGGTGCATGTGGTTACAGAGGGATGCAGAAGAAAGATCTATAAGGGCACTGTAGGCCCGGTAAAGACCTTGACTTTTGCTCTGAGTTGGTGAGAAGCCACTGAAGGGCTTTGCAAAGTGAGTGGTTCCTTGACTCCTGTTTTGTAGCTTTTTCTGCTTGACCATACCATATCACGCGAGTATTTGAGTAGAATGTAGAAAATATTGACTTAATTCCCTTTTGATTCTAACTTCCTCTTATATTCAATTCTTTTATTTTTTAAAGGAATGAGGAATGTGTTCTTAAAGATATTTGATAGCTTCCTTATAGTGTTATACCATACCCAAAAATATTGAATCCCAAGAAAAGAATAGCAGAGATGGTCCTTCGTCTCTCTATGTTTATTGCAAATGAAGCAGCTCTCTATTCCCCTTGTAGTATCAAGACTTTAAGGGAATATTTATGCCAATGGGGAAAGACAGAGGACAACTCAATCCTTTTTTCTTCGACGCCGTTGTCCACTTGCTTTCTTTTCTTGGCCCCTCCTCCTCCTCTGCCTGTCCCTTAGATACCTGGATTCTTCAGTCTTCTTTTCCACCTACTCCACTGTCTTACTCTGCATGTTGTCATCCACTCCTGGGACCTCAATGACAGCATCTGTACTAACCTGCGTTTCTAACCCAGACCTCTCTATAGCTCTAGATTCATATTTCTTACTACTTACTGGACACTTCTACCCCGGAGTCCCTTAAACACAAATACTTAAATTTGACAAGTGCTAGTCACTTCAGAGTTATCTTTAATTTTTCCCCCTGCACATCCAGTTGATCACTGAGAATTAATAATCCTGCCACTTAAATCTGGATGTTTGTAGTAACCTTTCCTCCTTCTATTCTTCTCCCACTCTAAACCACCCTCCGCACCACTCTGGAATTATCTTTCCAACACGCCAATCTGAATATGCTTCACTGTTCCACAAAATCCTACAAAGCCCTCATTGCCTGCTGAATAAAATCCAGGTCAACTTCTAAGATTTCTATTCTGTTCCATTGCTTCTTCACACGTCTAGTAATTTTATTATCGTATGCTTGATATTGTGGATCATGCACTATTGAAAGTCTAGATTTTGTCAATTTCCTTTAGAGCAGTGCATCTCAACCTTTTTTCGCTATCATCCCTCTAAGGAACCTTTGTAGACATTTGTTTTCCTCATTGTCCCCCTCCCCATTAAGTTTTAATTACTGTATATCTGTACATATGTTCATGTACTCTGGCCCTTTGGACGGCCACACATCTGTGTAATATCTAGGCTTCTTAACTTTCCTCAGAATCAATTTTTGCCTCATGGGCATATCACCTCTGTTGATGATGCATGTTTTAGAGAATGTTGAGTTTTATTTAGGCAAGCAGATAAGTTACTAACAGATCAGACCGATCCATTCAAAGCTTATTCTTAAGCCTGTTAGGACATGTCTGGAGTAGTCCTACTTTTGAGGTGTGGCCTTTCTTGGGTTCCACTTGAATAACTGGAGCATTCAATGAATGCTCTATCTGTTTGGTCAGAATTCTGTCTCCCTGATTTGGGTGACCTCCAGAATCTCCATTCCATCCATAGCTCCCCAATACCTGTTCTCTGCAAGACCTCGTGGGATCTTGCCCTCTGAATATGCAAGTTCATTTTTAACCAAAACCTTCAAGAGACCCCCTTATAGATTTCTGGAGCTCTTCTGTGTGGCTCCCTTTTCTCCATTACCCTGCTA